GGGTTGTTGTGTCAACCCGAACCCGACCCGATTTTTAAAACGGGTTGATTTGATGAACCCAAACACACCCGTTTCGGGTCTGGGTTGACCCTAACCCGGATTTTTCTGGGTCGAGTCCGGGTCGTTTCGAAAATTGACACCCCTAGCATTTTTTAATACAATCTATTTTCTATATTGACCTTTTTTAATGAAAAAAATATAAAATAAGAAACACATTAATAGCTTTTTTCTTTTAAAAAACAAAATAAAATAAGTTTAGCAATACAAGGGGGATTACTTACATACCATAAAATTTTTATGAATTTTCATTTCAGTAGATCTAAAAAAGAATATATAGAGTGTAATTTTAATAGTAATAGATCTAGTAGAGGGTTTGTGATTTTGAGTGATCAGGTCATTAATAAGTGTACTCGTTTTAGATATGTTGGATATATTGTTCAGAGTGATGGTGAAATAGATGATGATATTATTAATAGAATTCAAGTTAGATGATTGAAATGGACGAATGCGTCGGGTTTGTTGTGTGATAGAAAAGTACCACTTAAGCTTCGTTTGGGACATCTTTCTTACTGCTTCTTAAAACAACTTTTTAGTACAAAAATTAAAACTTATGTATTAAAAAGCTGCTTTAAGAAACAATAAGAAAGCCATCCCAAACAAACCTTTAATCTTAAGGGGAAATTGTATTAAGATGGTGGTGAGACGTTCAATGCTTTATGGCGCAGAATGTTGGCCATTAAAAGAGAAATTTCCATTTTCATGGCCACAAATCGCCATAACGAATCACTGTTATCGTGCTTTTGTAAAAGCTATTAGATGACTTACTTGGAGCAGTCGACCGAGAAGCTGATAGGGTAGCCAACGTCGACTCCGCACTTGCCAGGAATGGTCGCCAGAAGGTTTTGGTTGAGCCCTCCGATCTGCTTGGCGAGTGATTTTATACAGTTACAGACAGTTTGTCGGTCCTCTGCAGTAATAGCCTCTGCCTTCAGTTCCTTCACGCCGCTGCAACACGCCGCCGGCAGCTCACCGCCGTGCTGTGCGTAGTCGACGCAGCTCAGAAGCTTGTTTGCTACTTCGCTGCAAGGAATAGTAGACTCAGTTACAGTAATAATGGCGCCACTTGAGACCATCACAAGCACTGTAACCATGGCTATGCATTGGGTGGTAGCGCTAGTTGCCATTGCTTGATCAATGGTTGTGAATCTGTGAATTCTATGAATGACCAATAAGCACTTTATATAGAGAATGAAAGATTAAGAGAAAACGACTGAATTGATTTCTTAAATTTAGGGTTTAGGGTTTAGGATTTAGATTGATCCCCGCATTATTTTGAAGTATCAAGTTAATCCTTAGACATTTTAAATATAAATCAAATTAATTCTAATGTAAGATCATTTTAAGTCCATATTTAAAAAATTGAATGATTAAAATGATATGTTTAATATAGTTGGAGATCATTTTGATTATTCATGAAGTGTCAGAGGATCATTTTAGTCATCTTGCAAGATTAAAACTTTATTAACTATCAGAAATTAATTAGAGAGAGAAAAAAAACTAGAAAAGCACTATAATGTCACTATTGATTTGAGAAAGTAGGAATGTGGAGACAAACATGACTTTTTTTTAAGACTTTTCAGCAAATTTTATCACAAACTTACAATTGAATATATGCAAGACCTCAAACTCAGCTAGGGCTACAAATAACTCGAGCTCGACTCACGAGCCAAATTCCGAGCTCGAACTCGAGTCGAGCTCAGCTCATGCCACTGAAAATGAGCTCACATGCACTGCGCTCGCCTTTCGCCAGTAGGCCCGTGCTTCGCCTTCTGCCAATTTAGGGTTTTAGGCTTTCCGTGTTTAATCTAGTCGCTCGACGAGTAATCGAGCCAAGCATCATATGGATTGAACTCGGGCTCAAAACTCGAAAAGCTCGGCTTACGAGCTCGAGCCGGCTCAGCTCACAGTAAGGTCAGCTGCTCGGGACATGACTTGATACTGTAGACTCAACTTCTGAATCATTATTTCTAGTTCTGCATCAACATATAACAATACAGGAAAGATCAAATTGCTTTAGTTATTTGGAGTAAAAGTTTTGAGATTGAGAGATATATGTACAGGAAAGAATATGATTTATTGCCACCT